AAATCAATGTGTGTTGCAATACGTTTAGAAAGTAAATGAAGTTTTGAAGTTTCAGTTCACCTTTCAACTTCGGACTTCAGTTCAACTTTGGACCACACTTAAAATTTAGCGGCCGTGTTAATTGGATACGTAGTACGCCTACAAACTGAATCTTCCATCACTATGTATGATGTCAAAATGTGGTCCTGCCAGTACTAAAACTATTATCATCACTAGACTGAGAGTTGTGCTAGACGAACAGCTGTGAGACAACTTAAGACTAGGCTAGCTGTGGTTGTCCACACTAAAACGCCGATACCATCCAAGAAGTTAATAAAATGGAAAACAATGCTCATTACATGTTGTGAAATGTGACAGGTTTTCGATTTCATTAACGAAAACTACTGAACAAAGACTATATACTTCCATACAAAATATTATTTTTCCATTTTATTCATAAATCAATGAAAATTTGTTTCTGTTTTAATCGTAAATTTGACACAGTGGCAATGCCGTTGGGTTTGAAAGTTACAAATTCTGCAAAAACCTTAGCATTCAAATAAGTAGTGGCTTTCACATAATATTAATACATTATCATATCTACCACTGTTTAAATATACTTAAATGTACATTTTATTTGACAGGGCCTTCGCCAGCATCTAACAGGAAGGTATAAATCCTGTTGGGTAGTATACATGCAGCAAGCATAATGCAAGCTGACAGTTGCTTCAGTTTCATCTGAGAATCTGTATGTATACAATGTGAGATTTGTACCCTTAAGCCACACTGGAAGACACTATCGACATTAAATTACTAAACAATCACATAACGACTGTGTGTATTTACAGGCGATGGAAGATTGTAGTGAATACACAGAGTAAATATGTGTGTAATTGTGTATATATAATTGTGTAGTCAGTCCACGCGTAGATGTCACGGTCGTAACGGAAGCTGAAACTTGATATTTTCTGATCAGATGTACATCCGCGCAAGAAAAAGATGCAGGTACATTATTTAACCTAGTGACTTTAAATGCAGTCACATTGTGAAATCAGTCATTTCGTGAAATGACTAAAAATTTCAGTCATTTCGTGAAATAACTAAGAGGGTCCGCCATTCAACTATCCCTACTGCTCTTTTCTTTCTTCATGGGTTAACCTTGGCATTCTCTCTTTGTGACTCTATGTGCAGTGATATTGCAGTGTTGGACAGGCCATTCATACTGATTTTTCGCACGACCTTTGCCATGTATCCGACTAAGACATGTGTTTCGTGTTTCTGAGAGTCGGGGCCACAAAATAAGTCTGGGCGATTTGTTTCGTGCACAACGAACATTTGCAATCGTTATCAAGCACATTTACATCAAATTTGATGGAAACGTCCAAACCTATTTATATAGCCAATAGCGAAATAGCTGATCCTCTTAGTCATATCACGAAATGACTGATTTCACAATCTGACTGTAACATGTATACAATGTGAGATTCGTATCCCAAACCCACACTTGTAGGCAACCTTTCCGAGGCAACCTTTCCGATCGGCTCATTAAAATAATCACTGGGGCGGTTCCAACTACCGAGACCCGGGCTCGAATCCCCACATGGCATATTGTGGTCCCTCCTGTTGCTGGAATATTGCTAAAAGACTTAATGCATTGCAACCCAACTATTATGATATGGATATGGATGACCCAATAATATTTAAGACAGTCATGTAGTTCTTGTGGCACGCACTCCCCCTCGTCTGATCAGCTGTTGTTCTCAATTAATGTAGACACTATCGACATTAAATTACTAAACAACCACATAGCGACTGTGTGTAGTTACAGGCGATGGAAGATTGTACTGTATACACACCATAAAGCTGTTTGTAGTGAGTGAGTTATTATTTAACGTCACATCGGCAATATTTCAGCCATATCGTGACGAGAACATATGTGACATTGAAATGGAATAGATGTATATTATAAAAACCTGTCGACGAAGGACAGTAAAACAACTAGAATATCACAATTACAACTAAAACTAGTGTGGAAAATTAAAACTAATAGCACTATTTGGACAATACAATATAAAAAAACTGGCTATAGATCGCCAACAACTGAAGGTAGATCACCAAACTAGGGACCATGGGGACTTACAGTTCTTTTGCTACCTGCATGGACCCTAGTTGGATTTATATCATCCCTTCAGCCGCTGGCGATTGAAGTCAAATTTAGCCAAAATTAAAATGACAAGAATACTACATTTAAAACAGCTGGTAAATTTAAATTTCCTTTGAATGTTTCGGGACTTACGTACCCTCTCAGGAGGACAATAATTTTACGCTACTTCAACCCCCTTTGAGGGTACAGCCACTAACAATCTCAGTTACTAATCTAAACTACCAATAATAAAATATGTATCTATTTACAAATCAGTTAACAAGTCTAATTCTTTTAAAAATGCAATAATTTAATGAGAACTTATATTAGTAAAAAGATCCTTCATGGTTCGTGATTTGAAATAGTTATCCCTTGTGATGGAATATTCAACACAGTCAAGCAAGACATGTTTGACCGTGATTCTTTCATCACAAGGGATACAAAACGGAGGATCCTCACCTTTTAATAGGTACTCATGAGTATATCTTGTGTGGCCAATACGACATCGTCGTATGATGACCTCTTCAAATCTGGACTGACAACCCAAATAGGTGTAACCGATAGTTGGTTTTATGGCATGTAATTTATTGATACCTACTTGGGTGTCCCACTTCTTTTGCATCAGATCACGGATATAAGATCTAATAGCAGCTTTGTAATCAGAGTATGGGATCAGAAGTGGTGTCACAGATTTGTTGAGTGCTGCCTTAGCAGCAAGATCGGCCATTGTGTTCCCAGAAATGCCAACGTGGCTGGGTAACCAACAAAAGACGATGTCGCATTGGCCAGTAGCAAGCTCATTATACAATTCAATAATTTCTAATAAAAGTGGATGTTTACAAGAAAGATTTTTAATAGCCTGAAGACACGAAAGAGAATCGGAAAAGACTATATATTGTTTATATTTACGGTGTTTATTAATATATTTAAGAGCTGTTAATATGGCGTTAGCTTCAGCTGTGAAAATACAGCTGTTATTTGGTAGTCGAAAAGATATTGTTCGGGATCCAATGACAGTGGCACAGGCCACCGCGCCATCATCCTTGGACCCATCTGTAAATAAGGATTTGTATGTATGATATTTAATTTTTAATTGATTATATTCTTGTTTATATTGTAATTCATTAGTTTCAGATTTCCTAAACTTTGTCAGAGTTAGGTCAACTTCAGGCCTCACCAGTTGCCAAGGAGGAGAAGAAAGAAGCAGGGAAGAAGCTATATTTTCCAGCTCAATGCCGTCAGCAGATAGGAATGGTCTAATTCTTAGCCCAAGAGGCGGAACAAGAGAAGACTTTTTGTTGTATAAACCCTCATAAAGAGGATTGAAAACACAGTTAAACGCAGGATTCGACTCGTTAGAATACAGTTTCGTTATATACTGTAATGATAATTTGATACGACGTTGGTAAAGGGATGGCTCATCAGCCTCAACAAGGAGACTATCAAGAGGAGAGGTTCTAAAGGACCCAAGACAAAGTTTTAGGCCTTGGTGGTGGACAGAATCAAGTAGTTTTAAGTTGCTTTTGCAGGCTCCACCATATACGATGGAGCCATAATCAAGTTTCGAGCGGACCAATGATCGATATAGGTGGAGGAGGGTAGCTTGATCCACTCCCCACTTTGAGTTGGAAACAACTTTCAACAAATCAAGGGCCTTCAGGCATTTAGCATTAAAGGATTTAATATGCGGCAAAAAAGTTAAATGGGAGTCGAAAATTATACCCAAGAACTTGGCCTCCTTGACAACTTTGATCAGAGAGCCATTTAAAGATAGTTCTGGGTCTTTATGCGGCTTATATTTTCTACAAAAGTGTAGACAATTAGTTTTAGACTTGGAAAATTTAAAGCCGTTTTCAAGACACCATTTATTTATTTTATTTAAACACAACTGCAATTGCCGTTCAATAGTATGCATATTTTTACCACGACAAGAAATATTAAAATCATCCACAAAAAGTGATCAATCAATTGAATCGTTTAAGACCTCGGATAAACTGTCGATCTTGATACTAAATATAGTGACAGACAAAATACTGCCTTGAGGGACACCCTGATCCTGATTGTAATGATCAGACAGGGTTGAACCCACTCGGACTTGAAATTGCCTGTCTTTTAAAAACTGTGATATAAAGAGAGGCAAACGGCCTCTCAAACCAAAATCATATAAATCCTTCAAAATGCCACGCTTCCAGGTCGTATCATGAGCTTGCTCAAGATCAAAGAAAATTGATACAGCATGTTGTTTATTTACTATAGCATTTTTAACAAAGGATTCTAAGCGTACCAAATGATCAATGGTACTACGATTTTCCCTAGAACCACATTGAATATATGTTATAAGGTTATTGGTTAAACAAGATACCAAATTAATCCATACGTTAAAGCTGTTTGTAATTTCATATAATTACTTGTATCTGTTACTGAAACTGCTGTTGATACCACCGTTGATTTGGAAAGCAGCTGTGTTACTATATTCCCTGTCGAGTGAGTAGTACGTCCACGAGTAGATATCACGGTCGCAAAGGATGCTGCAACTTGAGATTTTCTGATCAGATGTAGTTTCAAGGATAGACAGATATGTATATGCTAGGTTTGTTTGTTTTCATTTAAGGAATAATAATCCGATTATCTTTTCGCAAACATTTTTCAAATGTATTTCATGGACCGGTACATCCGCGCAAGAAAAGATGCAGATACATTATTTAACCTAGTAACTTTAAATGCATTGCTGTTGCTCTGCAGTGAAAACTGCAGGTTTAATGTACCATGTCCTACAGTAATGTTCATCCCCATGCAGAAAAACACACAGTAAGTGCCTGTATGTAGTTAAAGAACTCATGTGAGCAGATGAAAATCTTTGAAGCATACCAACACTTACCAATAGCTGTAGATTGTGCACGTGTCGTTGTTTCAGTTGCTGCTGTGTCCGAAGTACTTGGATTGAACGTACTCTGTGAACGTAACGGCTGATGTGTTGACGTTGCTGTGGTTGATGCATACAGTATTACTCCGGTGATCGTTATTGTCATTTGACCTGAATCTATGAACAAGTTATATTTGTAGCAATCTCTAGGTACGAACATCTTTAAGAGGGAAACTAACAGAACATAGACTTATGCAAAGTCATATGTAATATTCATTTAAAGATGAAGATGTAAGACACATCACTATGAATGCCATACGCTAAATATGAGAATTGCACCAGATCCTATTTTATCTTTAATAGATGCATATATACTAGTAGTATTATAAAAAAGATGGGTTAATCATACTAAATCATAACTGCAATTATACCAGCAACACGTATCCATACATTTTCTCCACTCTGGTCATGATTATCGAAGACTATAACTATTTCGGCAGCTGTTCCAGGTAATACCCTGTTGTGCTGGAATACATTCACGTTTGTCCAGAGTTGCCTCCCGTCGCCTGAGATGTCAAGGTCCCCTGACCTCATCCGCCACTGTAGCAATGTTACTTGTAAAGTCTGCCCTGTGATCCTAACAACACAGCTGCTGTTCACACCGACACTGTCAGGGAAGCCGGGAGAATGGAGGTACACCGACCCGTTTACTGTTGTTGTGACTGGACTACACATGTTCATACTACCTGAAATACAATGTATATCACAAGTAGAACAAAAGTTGTGATTACTGTTTACTGTTGTTTCTTCCGATAACAAAGCTATGTATCGTTAAATGTATATCTTTGTACAGCTGAAGTCACTTATCTTGACTCGGCTGAAACATTTCTTTCGTATCGTAACGGATAAATGCTACTTTGAGCTGATAATGAACCTTAGTGACTTCATATCACAAGAGGAAACATCGACCCAACGCCAGTGAATGACCAGTTTCTTTAAAGTCACGTAGCTCAATCCCTCTTAAATGTGTCCGTTAGCAACCTTAGAAAGCATTCTCTCGAAATTGTTGCCAAAATCAATACCTGATTTATTTCAACGCACTTGGGCAAGCGGAAGCATCCAAACGACTGATGCTCAGGTACATGAGTCACTTCATGGATAGTTGCCATTAGTAAACAGTGTTTAACACTTGTGGGAATAAACAAACGTTCGCATATGAACAGGCGTGACGTAAATAAATTATGAACACTGACAAAATACCAATACACTGGCATTCTACTTAATATTGCGTCAATCGAATTTTACAATCAAGCTATCTATACTCAGCAGCAAAACACCGTCAGTACGAATATAGAATTAGATAGGCACTGTAATCAAATCATGACAGAAATGGACATGATAAGCGGATGAAAAACATTTTTTTCTTGTCACATCAAGGAATAACTCAATTTCAAGACATTACGTGAACGTTTGCAGTCAATTGCAGCACAGCGTCTATGCATGGAGTGCACCAATCGATTGATGACGGCCATTTGCACCTGGAACCACACTCTGAGAAATCCCTGGCGCAATAAATTGGCTGTGTTCGGCCTTGTTATAACATCAGTCAGTCTCCTCTGAATTCCATCCCAAAGATGTTGAATTGGGTTTAAATCAGGACTAAGGGCTGGCCACTGCATAATGTTGACACCGTTCTGCTGTAAAAAGTCCCGTGTAGCTCTGGCAGTATGGGCCCGGGCGTTATCATGCTGGAAAATGTTGTTCCGGTGACGTGCGAAATGTGGTATAACGTGGGGTCTGAGAGCTTGGTCGATGTAGCGCACCCCTGTGATGATGCCTCCTCTCCCTGGACCAAGGTTTTGGAACACCACAGGACCCACTCTCTGGTTCAGGCCTATTCCACCCCATACCACGATGCTTGCACCTCCCCAGGAGTTTCTTTCCATAACACATTGGTCTGAGTAACTCTGGCCACGTCGTCGCCATATGCTTGTTCTGCCATCTGCAGTTCATACGCAGTACCGACTCTCATCTGTGAACAGAACAGTTCTCCATTGCCTGTATCGACAGTTTTGGTGTTGTAGGGTAAACTGTAGACGTTCACGCCCATGACGAGGGGTGAGGATAGATCCACGGTAACGTCTACTACGGCGATGGAGGTTCCCGCTGTTAAGACGTCGGCGTACTGTATCAGCACTGATTGGTCTTCCATGTGTTCCCAGTGTCTGGCGTGCTGTTTCGGATGCCTGCATGAAGGGATTCTGTACATGCTGTCGCACAACATGGCGGTCTTGTCTTGTGGTCACCCTTGGTCTACCAGTACGGGGGCGATCATTTGTGGGGTTAGTGGCCCGGAAACGTTGCTGTAACCTGTAGATGGTCCGAACGTTGACCTGGAAGTGATTGGCAACGGCTTGTGCAGTGTGGCCAGGTTCAAGTCTTCCTAGCGCCTGGTTCCTCTGAGCTGTCGTGAGTCGCGGCATCCTGCTGACGTTGTAATGTGAATGTTTCAACCAGGTTTGGGGGTGCATTTTATAGGGCTAGTCCTTGTGAACAGCACGTGCAGCATGAGTTGCATGAAAAAAAATGGAGAACACCGTACCACCTCCGAGATCAGGTTGCGTTTTTGAGACCATTTCCTGGGTTCCATTCTGGGTTTGGGAAGGAATGTCTTTGCTCTGGTAAAGTTGGAGATGTTGTCAAACATATACCATCAAAACATTAAATGAGTTTACAGTTATCCGTTTCTGCGAAGGAAATTCCGAACTGACGTTTCTTTTACTGCTCAGTATATTGTTCTGAATAACATGATGTTAAATGTAAGATTCTATGTATAACATAAACATCGTTTAATTTTATAAAACACTCGTGAAGATCTTGGTCAGAATTGGTCTGAAGCCAAGCTTGTCTACCGAAAAATAACATGTGTCTCTATCAATCTTATGGAAACAAATAGTTTCACTGAATGAAACATCGATCGAATTGTGCGAACAGATGTCGAGAAATAGGGATGAGTATGTAGATACTTGTTTTGCAGCCTCCAGCCTGAAGTGTTAAAACACATAAGTAATATATTTTGGAGATGGGATGATGATGTAATCTGAGGCGCCACACTTCGCGTGTCAGAATTTAAATACCAAAATGACCAAATTGAACTGATTTAATCCTTATGATACAAGGTTCATTAATACACACAGGCAGGTCGACAGGTAAAACCAGGTCCTGTAATAGGTCCTGTAATAGGTCCATGTAAATCATGTTAGATTGTAACTGGACCACTCCCTTGTTGTCCCATATTCTTAGCTTTTAGTTTAGTGGGGACTTTCACATTATATTCATAAGCGGCGACTTACGGAATCAGGTGGTCAGCCTCGCTGACTTGGTTGACACGTGTCCTCGTATCCCAATTGCTGGGTTGCCAGCTGAACAGATTCTACAATTGTTTTTAGTTTACAATTTAGTGGTGATTTTCACATTATACTCATAAGCGGCGACTTACAGGATCGGGTGGTCAGCCTCGCTGATTTAGTTGACACATGTCACAGTAGATTGATGCTCATTCTGTTTATCAGTGGACTGTCTTGTCCTGTCTCGATTATTACAGACAGCCGCCATATACATTTTGTAGCTGGAATATTGCGGAGTTAAACTACAAACAAACAAAACTATTAAACCTTAATGTGAGTGGTATTAATCTGTAAAGAATAGTGTGAAAGATCTGCTGCAACCAACTTGATTGAATTTCATATTTACTTCATAACTGGTACGTATTTCATTATATCGTCTTGTTTGTTTTACCTTTTACATATTTCACGATCTGTACTGAAAGAGATAAAAGGCGAGCGAAATTATTTTGCAGCTGCGGGCAGAACCGTCTTTGTCAATATTTCTGTAAGTAAGAGACACGAATCGAATGTTAGTACTTTGTACATGTGACGAAATATGATATCTTTTAAGTTTGACAATAAGCATGTCATAAAAAGCTACCTTTATGTCGATGTAAACAAAACCGGCAAGATGGTGTTTCCATTTCCCTACTGATCTTTAAAAGGGGTACCGATTTGTACATACATTCCAGTTGCTGCATCAAAGGGGAAGAGGAAATGTGTCACAACGTGTATCAAACCTTGACGTCACTGTTTTGTAGCAGTAATACGTCGTCAGTGAAATAACGCTGCACGTTAGACATCTCAGGATATACGTAGATCTACACACGTCAACCTGTTGATAATTAGCCCGCTGACATTAGCCCGCTGACATAAAGACAATATTATGGTTTCTTTTTTTGTGCTTTTATGGTTAAACTAAGTTCAATTTATACCATAAATTATACAATGCCGTTATGTAATGTCATATATGCCTGTTGGTTTGTTTGCTGTTTCACGTCCTATTCAGGAATATTTCATCTTTTTAACAGAGGTTTGTAATATTAGGACCAATTCAGGGATTGACATCATGAGACTCAATCTACGGAAATGGGATAACATGACTTGACCACCCTATCCTTCTTACAACAGGGGGGCGGTGGGGTAGCCTAATGTTTAAAGCGTTGGCTCGTCACACCGAAGACCCGGGTTCGAATCCCCACAAAGGTACAATGTGTGAAGCCCATTTCTGGTGCTCCCCGCCGTGATGTTGCTGGAATATTGCTAAAAGCGGCGTAAAACCGTACTCAGTCAGTCAGTCTTACAACAGGTTTGGGCTGGTGAAGACAAATAAACAAACGGTAAGTATTTTCCGCTATCTGATTGCGAAAGTGGTCGACATACCTGAAAATGATGGCCTAATAACCGCACGTTAATACGTTGGAACTAATACCGTACTACTTTCGCTGCATGAATTAGCATAATGGAGGCAACCTCAATTTCTTTCTCGGGAATTTTGATACAATCTTTGAAGACGACAAATTCTTGGAAGTATTATTCAAAGATGATGGTGAGTACAATCACATTGCACATAATCACATGTGATCAGATAACGGTAAAGTGATTGAAGAGCCATAAAATAATATCCTTCAATGATGTTTATTCACAAATGAACAGCTCTGCAAATCTCAAGCATTCGTGTATTTGATCTGGGGTACAATTTTGGGGTACAAAGTTTAAAGATTATTATTCAGCCAAAGAATACGTCATGTTGCTTGTTTCTAGATATTGATCTCCCAAAAGACACCAATCCCAGCACTCCGGGCGTTTCCACTTCCATTGGAAATTCAGGCGCTAACGCTGACCTGGCTCCATCTTGTCCATCGTGCATCCCTCCACAGTCCCGCTTTGCTAAGGTTGATGAGAATGGCCTGATGGAAATAATTGATGGGTCATTATCGAAAGCAACTGACAGAAATACAGTTTGGGGCGTAAAAGTCTTCAGAGGTCTGCAACGTATAACAATTTGAAAACAAACAAAAAGGAAGTTATATCGCTATTATTTCTCAAAAACAGCTATCAACATGATTTACATCTGATCTAACACTGAATGATAATATCATAGCAAAAAATAAATACTAATCGGTAGTCATGAAGAGGTACTAATGCAGGCTAGGAAATCCCACTGGCACAAGCCCAAGCATATCAAAACAAAATTATAAATGTTGTAATCTTACCTTTTGTTTTTGTTTTCCGTTCGAAGAATGGCTTCTTGAGCGTGGTCATCACAAGGATTTTGAGCATATGTCAGTTGACCAACTCAACGATCTCCCCCGGAGCTTTTATGCCGAAGTGAGGAAATTCGGACAACGAGTCGTCATCTCTCACATGTCAGCGTGTCGCCGACTGTTCGGTTGTTTCTCGGTCCCAGCCCTCTTCTTCTCGTCAACTATTTGTTATGGGGATGTTTCAAATTCAGTATTCCACATTCAATGTAAATTTGATGAACACACAGTAGGCCGAACAAATAGGGAATGACACCATGGAAAGCATGCTTCCCGGCCTGTTTGGACTAGTTCATTATTCGAGTTCCATTGGCACTATGATCATACAATCTGTGAAACATTGTTCAAAATGAAGTAAGAAATCCAACCTTTCTGTGCATTTGTAAATGAATGCTGCAAGAAAAATGTAGACGTCAAAAGTCGCTCCCTTGGGGAGATATTTACAAAAATAGTAAATTCTTCCTTAAGATTTTCCTTGAAATCCAACTTTTTGAAATCCTTTTTTTTTTAAATATGAATTTTGCACTCATTGACCTTTGACCCTAATTAGTGACCTAATTAGGCATTTTTGAGCTTAGCAAACAACAGATTCGTATTCAGCACGAAAAACTACCCCAGAATAAGTGGTTTGCTTGCTTTTACTCGAAAATGCCTCATGCATTCACATTTCTGAGAAATTTGACTAGACTGTTTTCTTAACATAAATATTCAAATCTGTGATATGTCATGTTATTAAAGTATCTTGAAATCTGTCTTTTGTTTATATTTCATCATCATCAAGCAGCCCATCTCCCCTTTGAAAGAATGTCAAAACCCACCAGTTCTCCTTGTCAGGTCAACGAATTCCAGTGCGTGCTTTACTGACCCAATTGCGACCGATGACCTCGCCATATGAAAGAGTCCGTAAGAAAAACCCTTTTTTTCTGTAATTATGGTTTGCAATATCGATAAATAGTAACGTTTGTGAAATTTCCGTGATTCATCGTAATTCAACACCCGCAAAAGCCGTCGGTTTTAAATTAAATTTGCGAGTGTAGAATTACGATGAATCCCGGAAATTTCACAAACGTAACTATTTATTTTCTAATTCTAGTGAGTGAGTGAGTGAGTTTAGTTTTACGCCGCACCCAGCAATATTCAAGCTGTATCGCGGCGGTCTGTAAATAATCGAGTCTTGACCAGGCAATCCAGTGATCAACAGCATGAGCATCGATCTGCGCATATGGGAACCGATGACATGTGTCAGCCAAGCCAGCGAGCCTGACCACCCGATCCCGTTAATCGCCTCTTACTTCTAATTCTAACCCGGATCTACTGTAACCGTTGAACTTTATGTAACACCGTGAATCATTTCATGCGCCCAAAATATATAGAGTTAAAAAGTTTTAAAGTGGTTGAATATATCCCCCAGTTTTTCCTTTTCTAGAAATGGTTACATATTCTTTATACAGATCTGCAGACATCCTGAGATCAATTTTGACGATACACTTATAATGTATTTCAGTAGAAACATCACTAATATTGCAATTTGTGAGGCTGATACATTCGTGGGTGTATCTCATCGAGTCTGTGGAAATGAGTGGCTAACAGCAAGAGCAACAATCCATAGAGGGGCTAAACACATGTGTCAAGGAATGTATTGTTATAACGTGGACAATAACCGGGACAGCACAGGGTACGTACATTACGTACGTCTCGATCGAATATCGATAGATGATGTGCATCAGGTATACAGGCATATGAAATTCACGTCTCACCTTTGATACAGTTGTACTTTACTTCAGCAGCAGCATCGGTAATATTACAGTTGTTGATGTATGGTACCTGCATGGCTTCACGACATGACTGTTTCCCATTACAGTTGACAACCAGGCCATGTTGGCTGCTGTCAAGTTTCGTACTACACGATCCAGCAGATTTCACACAACATGTTGCTACATCTCCATCCCCATACACCTCGTGCACGACATGTATCCGCTCATCGACAGAACACTGGAGCTGTACTGTAAAGACTTTCGTCAAATCCTCAATACATCTGTTTCCAGTTCTGACACCTTTGAATATAATGTAATATCGTTCAGTCATACCACACACTCAAAGATATTACTCCAATTGGAGGTAAAATCCTGTTTGTTTGTTTGTTTTTGCTCCCTAAAACATCTTTGAGACATACGTAAATGTAATTCTGTGTGATATAAAACATTATTAAATCAATCAATTACAGCTGAAAACTAAATTTCCCAATAAGGTCATAAATGAAATATTATATTACAGTTTACATGGCAAATTCATAAAATACACCATTTAAACCGAAGGATGTCATATCTCTCAATCTGTGTACTCACCGTCTGTTGACATAATGTAATATCCATAAGCTATGATCACTGTCCAAAACAAATACACGTCTGATATTCATAGCTGTTTTAGTGTCTTCGAAGTCCGCACATAAAATTCGAAAATGTTATATTACCACATGTGCCTCTTCCTGTTTGAGTCACCAGTCTGTGAAAGCCACACATTTGATCAAATACTATACGTGTCATTGTCAACCCATATCCTTACAAGTAACAGAACAACACAAGCAAGGGGTCGCACGACAGGTAAGTGAAATAACCAGCAATTGCTATTTCAAAATCAGCCATGGCTCGCTGTATGTGTAGCCACAGTGGCACACAATGCAACGACCTACCGCGTGACAGGGAAATGAAATAACCACGTTGACAATATCTGATTTATATATATCAAAGGCGAGTGGTTTGTTAACCGCTACTTCGTGAAAGTGTTGGCAGAGGGTGTCAGGAGTTATCCTGGTGGGGTGGGGTTACAGCTGGTAGGATGGAGAGTTATCATGGCGGGTGGGGAGTAGTCCTGCAGGGGTTGGGTAGGGTTACTGCTGGAGGGATGGAGAGTTATCATGGCGGGTGGGGAGTAGTCCTGCAGGGGTGGGGTGGGGTTACTGCTGGAGGGATGGAGAGTTATCATGGTGGATGGGGAGTAGTCCTGCAAGGGTGGGGTGGGTTACTACTGGAGGGATGGAGAGTTATCATGGCGGGTGGGGAGAAGTCCTGCAAGGGTGGGATGGAGTTACTGCTGGAGGGATGGAGAGTTATCATGGTGGATGGTGAGTAGTCCTGCATGGGTGGGATGGAGTTACTGCTAGGAGGGATGGAGAGTTATCATGGCGGGTCGGGAGTAGGCCTGCAGGGGTGGGGTGGAGTTACTGCTGGAGGGATGGAGTGTTATCATGGCGGGTGGGGAGTAGTCCTGCAGGGGTGGGGTGGGGTTACTGCTGGAGGATGGGATGGAGAGTGGGGAGTCATGGATGGGGGCTTACTGCTGGAGAGTAGTCCTGCAGGGGGTGGGGTGGGGTTACTGCTGGAGGGATGGAGAGTTATATGGCGGGTGGGGAGTAGGCCTGCAGGGGTGGGATGGGGTTACTGCTGAAGGGATGGAGAGTTATCGTGGCGGGTGGGGAGTAGTCCTGCAGGGGTGGGGTGGAGTTACTGCTGGAGGGATGGAGAGTTATCATGGCGGGTGGGGAGTAGTCCTGCAGGGGTGGGATGGAGTTACTGCTGGAGGAATGGAGAGTTATCATGGCGGGTGGGGAGTAGTCCTGCAGGGTGGGATGGGGTTACTGCTGGAGGATGGAGAGTTATCATGGTGGATGGGGAGTAGTCCTGCAGGGGTGGGGTGGGGTTACTGCTGGAGGGATGGAGAGTTATCAGGTTGGGTGGGGAGTAGTCCTGCATGGGTGGGGTGGTTTTGTTGGGTAATCCTTGAGGGGTGGAGAATAACCATTGAGGCTGGGGGGTAATATTGGAGGAGTGGGGAGAAATCCTGGAGTGGCGGCGAGTAACGCTGGATATAATTTGATCGATATTGTGAACAATGATTAACACCAATGGTTACATTGCATGCCTGAGTCTTACAACTAGCGATGTTACAGTGTGAAAACCTTACAACTGCACATACCTTCAATCTACCCTGTTTATATCACGCTACTTGGAAATAATCGAGTCTGTGCCAGATAGATTAATGGCTGATATCGTCATAAACGTGTCATGTCTTTCACTATGTCACAATCTCGGAGTTACATCTGGCTCTTCCTGCTCAGCGCCTTGAGATTGCGCTAGTTGCGTGGATATGTACGTTATACAAATATCCTAGAATAATAATATTCGTAATGCTGTATTTCTATAGTCTGAACACACCTGAAATGAATGCCAGCACCAATCACATTCTGTACCTTTGGTCCACGCTGTATCAACAATTCAACCCTGAAATTTCATCCTAAAACAGAAAATTCCTAGGCCCTAAACAACGGTTCAAACGTCGTTCTTGCTGTTCGGGGTTTACACGTGCTGATGAAATAAACTTTATCTCCTCCAAACAACTGCCTGCAAATGCGTTTTTATTGGACACCTGAACCGTCCCTGCATTGGCCGTTTCATCCTAAACGTTTCTGTGATCATACGCATGTTTTAGACGCCGACAACCAAGGCATCTTCTCAATTCCCTTTCGTTCTCGGTTCCATGTCCACGCTGAAATCTTCTTGAAAACAACGTGGACAGTTGACAAGCTTTATGGATAACAACTTTATTTCGTGAGTGCGACGTTTCAATACATATTCTTGTACTGCTGTCAAGAAGAAATATTATACTTCCCAGCTTCTTAAATACCACTGAAAGAAGTTAAAGGTATACAGTTCATACTTGTCAATTCTCTCCGTTGTAACCTGTGCTGATCTGATTCCTAGATAACATTTACAAATAATCTTCCATATGCCAAAAGCTGATATTTCCACGATGATCTTGTTTGCCGTCTTTTGACTTGTTTGCCAAGGGTGATAAGTCTGGACGTTCTATGCAACTATGATACACAGGATGGTCTCCCTTGAACGAAAGTTTGAATGCGTTCCACCTGCATGTGGTGAATAATGATTGACAAAATGTGAAGCAAAAATTTCAATCAAAGTGTCCAGTGTTACGTGTGATATGCAAATAAATGACCGGGAACCCTTTTTGACATAGATTCCGTTAATGTTGGAAGGTTTCTGTGACACTGACTGAATGTAGATTATTCATGTACATGGATCATATGAATCATCGTTTGTCAATTGCAACGTCATGTAGACAAAATACGAAAAAACATGATCATGACAAGGAAAATGAGATCGAGATTGGGCGATCGCGATCGCAGATAAAAATCTGCTTATATTACTTATGTAATAAAAAGAATTGTTCTTTTGAAATATTAGAATTTCTGCGCAATGTTAAGTATTACACGTACAAGTCAACAACCATATCTTATACCTTACGTACGTGAGCTTGTTGATTTGTAACATATGTATGTGTGTTTCCCTAAACTTAGCACTATCTGAAAGCATTGTCACGTGATGCACCCGTAGATTATGGGTTGTAATATGATCATATGATATAACACTGACAACAAGCGAGACGTGGAGTAAAATGGTGTGACTTGATGTTTGTCAACCTACGTCTCCAAGTGTGACATATCAAGCCAAGCCTATGTTTACTGTTTATCTGCTTCACTGTTACCCTTACAATGCAATAAATATATATATAAGGGTAACAGTGAAGCAGATAAATAGTAAACATAGGCTTGGCTTGATATGTCACAGGAAGATTATCACATATATATATATATATATATATATATATATATATATATATATATATTCACAGGCACAAAAGAACACGTTATCGTAATTTATGTGATAATCTTCCTGTATTCCGACCGATTAATATGACTTTGCCAGTCTGTAAAAAGCGCTATCCTACATGTGAATCACGATGATCTTTGTTTACAGCTTAGCACACAATTTAAGTACGGATAATAATTGAACGTTGGAATGCATTTAGATTGTTAACAGAAAAAAGCAAAGAAGTTATTATACTCAACATGGATCACAAATTGCTGGTTGGCTTACTCAATGAATAATGGAGATTCTCCCAGTGGAGTCGGACTCCACAGGTCAAGCTTGCACTTTATCAAGAAGCCATGATTCACTTATAGTGACAACCTGGATAAGAGAAAAGCAGTTGAGATGCATGGGCAGCTTAGTTAGTAATCCCGATTGCACTAAAGGAAGGGTTGATGGGTTCAATAGCTGTGTCGCCATTGTTTAACACACTAATTATCAGCTGAAGCTTGAATTACATCTACAAATACATATGGCGTTGTAGAGCATATAATATGTACATTGAGGCTTTGGTTTGCAATTCTTTCATTGTTTGCAATCCACTATCTGTGAAAAATGCACGGTGTATTTAACATATGCATCAGCTTCCATGAAAGGTGTTCTGATATTCTACATATGACGTCTTCCTGTTGCACAGAACTCAATAATGTACTTGGGGAAAAGAAATGTTTATTACAAGATAACAAGATCTCAGGTAACAAGATCACATACATATATTTGCATTTGGTGAGAGAATACGATAACTACATTAAGTAAGAGGACATGTTCATGTTCGTGAACAGAGTGCGTAATATTCCAGCATTGTCGTCACATATATATGTGTGTGTAGATTCGTACGAAATCAATGAGTTCTTTTGTTGAAGTCTGCATAAACTGAGAGCTTGATATTCACGCTAACCTTCATTTACGCACATTCGTGTTATAATACATTGTATGGGCGTTATAGAATCCCTTCATTTCTTAGACGCAGGCACTCATCCCAGAGCTTCCTGGTAACACCGCATGTCATGGTCCGGAAATAGTTCTTCATACATCGGCAAACTAAGACTAAACGAAATAACCCTACTTCGAATATATCTAGACTTGTATACTAAGATCCGAAAAGGATGAAGGAAAAGCATGAAACTATTGTTTGAACAATAAAGCGTACATGCATCAAGGTGTACTGGGGTAAGGTACTCATCAACTTGACGCTACGACGAGGGGCGAGAGTCCATTGGTCAGTGCAGAATACTTCATTCACATAGACCACTCAATCAAACCTACACTCACAGTTTTAGATATCTGTTCTGCATAATATTCTTGCATACACTTGTGAGTGTGTTTCATTAGGATGGTTACAAAACTCGTAAATGTCGAACCCATGAAGATCCAGATTAGAATATTGATCTTCAGTAACCCATGCTTGTCGTAAGAGGCGACTAACGGGATCGGGTGGTCCGGATCTGCTGACTTGGTTGACACATGTCATCGTATCCGAATTGCGTAGAACGATGCTCATGCTATTGGTCCCTGGATTCTCTGGTCCAGACTCGATTATTTATTCGAGCATTTTTTATATTATTCGTATAGGAGGAATATTGCTGAGTGCGGCGTTAAACAACAACCAAACCAATCGTAAATGTTGAGTTACGCAAATGTCCTAATAAGCCATGATATTATTACCGAATGACTGCTGTCTTCACACAATGTTCAACAATGACTCATTACCCATTTATACACAGTTTTTAAGTGAGAAACGTTTTGACTATTACACATGTATATCCTTTGGTGTTGCTATCCCCGGATTCCCCGGATTCCAAATATTTTCATATTATGTAAAAACAGACATACAGTGGGCTCTGTATAATCCGACACTCACAGGGACTGGGGAAAATGTCGAATTATACAGAGTGTCGGATAATTCTATGTCTCCTTGCTTGAATACTTTTCAAACAGTACCATACATTGTAACTGGCTTATATCATATATCATTAAATCAATGCTTAATAGCTATTTTCTTGGTAAATAAAGGGGAAAAAACAAATTCTGTATTTACATGTACATGTATATCATTGGATTTATTATCTTCAGTACAATAATATATTTATTGCTGACAGTGACAATTCAAGTTCACACCACTGACTCATTGGTAATTGATCTCACCAAATTAATTGATCCCTTTTCTCAGCCCATTCATCCTATGCTTGACAAAACATACCTAGGTCCTCACATTGGCCACTCAGCTTGTAAAAACAAAGGTACAGGCGTTGTCACACTGCTAATTACCTCCCAATTAGCAAGTCCTGGGACCAAAGAGATTACCAGTAACAGGATGTTAGTTGTCTACTGGCCACTGACAGGTTGATTGGCTATTTAAGTCCAATATGAGGAGAAGATGTCGGATTGTACAGATTAATAGTGACAGTGGGACCAGAACATGGTGTCGGAATTCGGAATGTGTACAGACGTCGGATAATTCAATGTTTAAATGATGATAATATAGACGAACGCTGCCGGGACCCTCAAAAACATGTCGGAATTCACAGATTGTCGGATAATTCAGATGTCTGATTATACAGAGTCCACTGTAATACGTTTACATGCAATGTCTGACGACTCTATATGACATCATAAGATGTTTGCCAGCTCATCAGCAATGGCTGGATTGTAATCGACATACACAGAAAGGAAGCATAATCAACTGCAATGAGCGAGCAATGTTTACACGAAACTGTGGTAGAGGTCATTAGACATCATGTCAACCTCCTCCTTGGCTGATCCTGCTGTACTGATATCTTGGGTAGCTGAAATAGAAACATCCTCACATTCACCAATCTGCTCTACAACTTTAGTGTCATATCCAGAACTCTCATACATATCATTGTCAACCATCCCTTCAACTGTACCGCCACTGACATCTTCTTCTTCATGATACAAGTCATCTTCAGGCGTGCTTTCTTCATCCTGGTTGCCGTCATCGGTACTGACATCATGGTTCTCTGTAGTAGGTGGTCCCCCACTGTATACATCGTTTTCGGTCATATGACACGTTGATTTGGTACTGTTTTTACGATCAAACAGAAAACTGTCCATCGATTCAAGTTGATCAGTGTCAGCTTTCAGGTCGCCTGTTCCAGGTGATTCAGTGTCCTCGACATCTTCATCTTCATTTGAACCAGTCAGGCTATCTGGTGACGGAGTACTTATCGGATGCTTGATCGTAAATGTGTTGTGTTCATTCATGTTTAATCTGGAGGTACGTGGCAAGACTGTAGAGTACCCGTCCTGTACTCGGAGGGCCCTGGTTCCTTCATTGCCTGTTGAGTCTGTATTTAAGGACACATTTCCAGGCACAAATGCTGGATCTATGATGAAATAATGTTGGCTGCCATCATGCTTTCGTAAACCATCAGGTGGCCTATTGTGGTGAGAGTTGAGCTCCAGAGGTCTGTCAATGCCACCGTTGTGAGGTGAAGTTGCAGAACGGATAGCTTTATCATTTTTAAACCTGCAACACAATAACACATGATGAATAATCTGTCCCAACTAGTCAAATGAATGTTCGTGATCATGTCAATGTAGAATGAGTAACGAGAGTAATTAATGAGTGGGGAGTAATACTGGAGGGACGAGGAGTATTGCTGGATGAATGAGGAGTAATGCTGGAAGGGTGACGAATAATGCAGTATGGATGGGAAGTAATCTGGAAAGAGATGGGGGGTAATTTTGGAGGGGTTGAAAGTAATGCTTGAGGGGTGGGGAAACGCATGTTGTGATGACACCTCAACATCATATTTGGCTTAATAATGGTCATGATAATCTAAATATTTATCATGCCTAGACGTGTGTCATCATCAAATTGCCGGAAGAATAATCATTTTTGTTACATGATTCAAGGTGTATATTATGAACGTACCTGCACAGAACTACTGCGACTACGACGACAACTATGACAGAGACCACACAACATGCAGCGATAGAAGCAACAACGACAACTAAATCTGTAAGAGCAATACATGTTAGTTTAAAATCTGTATCATTTAAGTATTCGAAATAATATGTTTTGTATGGAAGCGTATCATATTAAGTCCTAATTAGGAGATTGTAAGTCCTAATTAGGAGATACTAAGTCCTAATTAGGAGATAATATTTTGTTCTATGTGACCCTAATATGCTTCCATAAGGTCTACAGTACTATGGCATAATCCTTTTTCTTGTGGACCTGGTGACATTCCTATATTGTAAATAAGAATATATTGTAAATCCTATTTTGCAAAATTTAAATAAATTTGGTGGTGAAATATATTAAATTTCGTTTTAGAGGAAATACATAGATTCCAACAAAGGTTAGAAGTACTTTGTAATAGAAGGTCTGTACTCAATTACACATTCTACAAGCACTTCGGTTGACTATAATACTAGTACATGTACAATATTCATTGATTCAGATTGGAATAAACCCACCTTCATTTGGAGTCCGTGGAATATGCGTTGTTTCGTTCGATGCCATTCCATCTGTCAAGTTTTCTGTGGTAATGAAAAAGGGCAAGACATTGTTACGATATATCAGGAAATTATTGTCTGTATTATTTAGGTTTCTCAAAATAAGAGCAGCATGTGTCAATCATGGAGAACTCTTCAGATGGTAAAGGATTGCCACATTGACGCATGAAACGCCTTGGCATACGCCCATGTATCAAACCTTTTCTTAATTTCTGAAACCTTTGCAAAAGTTACTTTGATACACATGTAAAAGGCATTACTGTATTTACCTGCAACAGAAGTGGCGGTGGGAGCAATTGTCATTGTAATACCTGCTGTCTTCGATGTCACCTCAACCGTGGCTGTGGTAGTGACTGGGACCGTATCTGTAACTAAAACAATGTAGTTACTGTCACGCAAAATAAGACGTTACATAAGCTGATCTGGAACTGGATCAAGATGACTGCGAAAATACTCACCTTCAAACAATGTGTGTGTTTGTCTGTCTGTCTGCTTTTGTGTGTGTGTGTGTGTGTGTGTGTGTGTGTGTGTGAGTGGGTGTGTGTGAGTGGGTGCCAGTGTGCGTGTGTTCTTTTATAATCATCATAATATAATTGCGGATACAAGTCGTGCATCTTCATGGTTGATTTACAGAATCAAGACAGTATGGAGGTTGTTGTTTTTATTTTCGGTCATTAACAAATGTATATCACCATGTGTCAGTGTGTGAGTAAGTGGCGTTTCAGCAGTTATAATATAGCATGCATCCTTTTGGAGGGAAGTCAGTTATGACTTAAGATAGGAAGCAGGTGGAATTTGATGGTAGGCACGCTCTAAATTAAAGTTATACCGTGGTGTGAGGAACAAGTATTTTCCTAGTCATGTCACGTGCTTATGACCACAAACCTTCTGATCCGAGGTCTGACGCCCGGTCCACGTGACCACGCCTACTATAATGGCATTTCAACAAGTTTTATCAAATATATTACCTCAAACTGGTTATGAATAGAGCTTTTTAACAAGGGTACCTACTCATGGTAGTTAAGTGGGCGCTTGTTGACACAGTTGACAGTGTTTGCGTGTCAGTAGAGAGGGAGCTTGTTGACACAGTTGACAGTGTTTGCGTGTCAGTAGAGAGGGCGCTTGTTGACGCAGTTGACAGTGTTTGCGTTTCAGTAGAGAGGGTGCTTGTTGGCATTACTGATTGGGTTACCGACATCCTTTGACTGGTTACGTCATGTTGAGGCGAAGATCTTTCAGTCATAGGAACAAATAAGGTTGAAGTCGCCGATGGAGTAATCATTCCTCCGTTGAACGTTACATCCACTGGAGTTGAACCTAGGGATGAAATAATGTTTCATATTTGTACTGATAGTGCAGTTTCAAATCACTAAGCAAATGTTGAACCTAACAGCCAATACAACGGGTACTGAACATTAAAGGTTAAAAGGTATTACCACGCCCATACTCAGCTTCTAATAAGTCATCGAAATAAACTGAGGGAAACAAATATGAGAACACCACTTCTAGGCAGTGTTCCTTTATTTATTCTCAGATTTCATTCCACAGCGTTATTCAAAACTGGTGATGAAAACTGAAAAATATTAAAGGAACACTTTAATTTTCCTTTGTTCCTTTATTTGTTTGTCTCAGTATTTATAAATACATGAAAGATCTGTGACATAAAACAACAGAGATGCAGCTTAGAAGTAAATGTCAAATAGAATTATACTTACCAAGTACACTTATCCACACGTTTGATCTGTTATTGCCTCCGTCAGTGTAAGATATTGCAACTTCTGAATATTGTACTGTCAATTTTCTGTTGTATAGTTCTGTGTTCACATTTGACCACTGTTTATTACTTTTGCTTGAAATTGTCAAGTTTCCCCCATTCAAACTCTGCTCGACCAGTGTCACTTGGATACCTTTCCCAGTGATCCTCACCACGCAGCTTTTATTCAACCAAACACTGTATGGGTAGCCTGGGGAGTGAAGGTACACAGACTCGTTTGCTGCTGCGTTGATAGTGTCAAAGTCGCAGATGTCCATACTGTCTGCAAGCATAAGATAAGCTGAACACGTGATTGAAAATGCAGCATCCCTTTTCCTAAAGAAATTTGCCCTGTCGATATGTTGCCATAACTATTTTGAAATTCGATTTCCTCTAAGTGACCGACTCAGTGTGCACAACACAACACAGCCCATGCTTGTTTGGGGTTGTTGGGTTTTTGGGGTTGTCGTTGTTTTTGTTTGTTTTTTTGCTTTTGTTTTGCTTTTTTTTCTCTTTGTTTTTGTTTGTTGTTGTTCTTGTTTTTTTCTTGTTTTGTTTCTTGTTGGGTTTTTTTTTGGGGGTCATTGTTTGTGTTCTTGTTGATGATGTTCTGATTTATGTTTTGCGTTTTGCTTTGTTTGTTTGCTTCTTGATATTGTTTTGTTGTTTTCGTTTACTTATTGGGATTTTTTTATATTGTTTTCTATGTTTGTTGTTGTTGTTCGGGTGGTGTAGGATTGGGGCAACGATACCATTGATAAATAGTTCTGACATTGTTTGAACATTAATTAGGGCCTGATCAGTATTGATCAGTTATTAGTGAGAGTGCGTTGGACAAAAAAAGATGTAACGTGTGTTTGAAGGTCATACAATCGTGTTACAGAAATCGAGGGGCTAGCTAAAAATGATCACAATATATTTACGTCTTTCGGGTGACTGTAATAAGGGTACTTTCAAAGATAACGTTTAGAAACAATATAGCAGATCAGAATATTCTGATCAGCATTCAAGAGTTACTGGTGTAGGTGTCCATGTATGTGATTACTAATCAATCTGCCAAACGGCTTGCTGATAGAATATTTATATACAGAGGAAAGAAAATAAGGGATCACATGAAAGCACAAGTGTTCCTTTATTTTTTTCCAAAGTTTCTCCACAAGCTTTGTATCGCATAGCTTGTGAAGAAACCCGGAAACAAATACAGGAACACTTGTGTTTTCATGTGATCCCTTATTTTTTCCCTCTTCTTTTTTCTATATGAATAGCGGGGTTAACAAAAGCAGACTTTAAAATGGGATGGCAGTAGTTATATCTGTGAAGTCAGCTTTACAATAAAACACTAGTTCCCAATTCTGAAATAAAGGTAAAATAAGGGTCTTATACAAAAACATGATTACAGTTCTGATAATGATAATCCATGTATGTAATTCGGGTTAAGCATTTTGAATCTTACCATTGATGCACTTATAATGTACTTGGGCAGCAGCAGCTGCAGCAATGTTACAGGCAACTGGAGACACCGTTTCGTTACACGTCTGTTCTCCATTGCAGTTTACGGCCAAGCCATGAATGGAGGTCTGGAGGACCTCTCTACACGATCCGTTATTTTGCAATCGACATGGGTTTGTGGCTCCGTACCCATACGACTCCTTTTCTACATGTATCCTTTCATTGACAGAACACTGAAGTTCTACTGTTATGTCACCCGTTTGTGCACATGTCCTTCTAGATCTCATTGTCACTGCAGACAGAAGCAAACAAGTCAAACAAGACAATCAAGCCACGTACCAGTCATTACAGTGATACAGTGGCGTCTTTACAAATTTTGTTGAAACTGAAAACGATGTGATAATTACGATTTACGACTCTCTACAGATTGTGTGCAGATTTACCTACTAATGTTTACATTCTATTTCACCATTCCAGTGCTCGTGGTATTCACCAAAAGCATAACATGTATCACTGTATCACATCACATCAAACTATCACGTCCACGCACGTAAATTTTATATAAAAGTAAGTGCACCCACCACACCCAGTCTGTCATGTAAGAGATTAATTACACACACATACACACACACACACACACACAACACTTCACATAATTTTACAGCATAATTCTTAAATGTTAAAATGTACAAAATTGCTGATCCGCCCCTAACACGTGTACAAAAATGATGACACCTCCACCCCCATTCCCGACAACAAAATGGGTGAACCCCCCTTAAAATCATCTTACTCACTCTCTCTCTCTCTCTCTCTCTCTCTCTCTCTCTCTCTCTCTCTCTCTCTCTCTCTCTCTCTCGCTCTCTCTCTCTCGCTCTCTCTCTCACACACACACCTAGCCATAGCCGACGTCCCTTAAAAGGATTGCATGCTCAAAATGAGGAACGACGGATTATCGCTCATTGTGTAGTGTCGCGAAATTTTCGAATTAATCCTACTTCTACTTTGACATTTTGATAGGTCACACGTGATTCAAGCTATATTACATTATGAGGAATGAGGAAGGTATTACGTATGAGTACAATCGAATTCCGAACTTTATGGTATCAAAATGGTGTTATTCACAATACAATCGCCAGTTTATATAACGTAACAGCAAGTTAAAGGTTAATGCTGTTATTCCATGAATAATTACGTTTATGACGGTTAAAGAGGTATATGGTTAAGTTAATTTCAAATGAGAACATATTATAATACTCACTTGGCATACGTACGTCTTATAAGTTAAATCAAATCTTTCACTTATATATCTATCATGAGATGAAACAATTAAATTAATATGAAATCTATACCAAGGTTTGTCTAACTGATCATGCTTTAATAGGCAGAAAATTGCATTTGAGACACTTTAGTTAGGTTTGAACATCCTAAATATCCATATACATTTAACTCGCCCTTAGGGGGCTACCAAAGTAATTTCCAATTGTCGATACAAAATGATGTCATGATGTCGCGCACGCCCTATATTCATTCTATTTAATCACTATTACGTTCTGGTAATTTATTGTGTGTGTATTTTAAAGGTGAGTGTGTTCGTGCGTGCGTGCATGTGTGTGTGAGCGCATTCACTAGTTAGGATGCACCTTGTTTTATTAAGTACATTGTTGTATATTAACTTTAACGACAAAGGTGTCGAATTTGTGGTAAACTTTATATTTTTAACGAACTGTTTTCCATATCCTTTAACTATCTCGGTCCGTATTTTGCAATAAAACCAAATATTAGTTCATGCGTATACTTACCATTTGAAGACAAAATCAAATTCACAATACATAGGAATACGACTCCCCTAAACACAAGGACAAACTGCATAGTTGGTACTCTAGGTCCGAGAAGCTTCAGAATGACTGTTGCATGGTACTTTCAAACATTTCCACATATACCTGAAAAACGTCATGCGATGGTAGTGACACCGTCTTTCTTCCTGGTGTCAGTTTGTGTCCATTCTTCTTGTAATGAAAGTCCGAATATAATGCCCCAGATATATTACACAGGTAACACACATTGTCTGATTCGAGAAGGTACACTGTGTTTCAGGGGAAATCAGTATGTTAGAGTAAACACATGTCGAACACTAACACAACACCAATCCACCCTTCACTGAAAAATATCTGTACAATGAAGGTTATGAGAATACGACAGTAAAATATGACATACATAAATACCATACATTAAATATTAACGTGAAAATACACTGCAATTTAACCTCTCTCACACGTGGTGCCCAGGTGAATGAATGCATTGCTATGATGCAGCCAAGTCTATCTCACAGGTCGTGAGAAGGGGAAGTAGAAAAAAACGTGTCGTGAGAAGGGGAAGTAGAAAAAAACATTGTCCTGAACTGTAAAGCTATCAGCTATTCCCAACGACATTGTGTGAAATCTTGATGGTTATTAATTGATCACACTGGCTAAAGGACAATAGTTAACGTGGTGAAAGGGTAGCTTGAATTACTTGATGTTCCACACCAAGGGCTTTGTAAGGGTGGGACGTAGTTCGCCCCGCTGCTCATGTGAACGTGTTTTCAATATGCCCAGCCTCACTGGTGACACTGAACTAGAAGGGCCTGATATCTATATCCGTGGAAAGAATGGGAGAGAGGACAATCGCTTACAAGCACAGCCTACATGGTTGCTATTAAATATTTGTATATGCTAATGTTACAACAAAGTTAATGATGATGGAAAATATGCATTATTATCATACAGATCCACGAGCGATTATGTATCCATCGTGGTGATTTAAAGGGCATGGTCACCCAGCCATCTAAGGCCCCACAATTCACCGTGCACGGGTGAATGAATACCTTACATGGTTGACATATTGGACTCGTACAAACCACATTACCCTCTCATCTCGACAGTAACTGTTTATTGCGTTTGACAGGGACCTATGCTCCTGACATCAGGGTACCCGTGAAGATCCGGGTTAGAATTGGTATTCAGCAATCCATGCTTGTCGTAAGAGGCGACTAACAGGATCGGGTGATCACTCTCCCCCGACCTGGTTGGCACGTATCATCGTTTCCCAATTGCGTAGATCTATGCTCGTGATGCAAAGTCCAGACTGGATCATTTACAGACCGCCGTCATGCAGGTGGAAAACTGCTGAGTTCGGTGTTAAACAAACAACAAACAAACCCGACATCAGGGTATCATAAAATAAGAACGAATGCTCGTAAATGTGGTAACGGTTCACAGTTTTATTATTAGCAGATAACAGTAACTCGAAAGGCAATTTAACACATCAAAATCCGTGTGAACACTGACAAGGATCGCTTTCAGCATAGATATCTTGTGGTGTTGGAAAACGTTTTTCGCGTTTGCTATAGATGATGGTGAACTTCTAAGCCGGACATTCCTCTAACAGTTAGCTGACGCACTGTCAGCGATCGTCAAAAAGCGGTCGTCTCGCTTGATTTGTATCGATGAGTGCTGTGGTCGTTGCTTTGATAATGAGTCGTTAGTTTGTTAGTCCCTGTTCGTCGGTTTTACATAATCTTAAACGTGTAAGAGAAGATGTTCTTCCTTGGTAAGCTGAGTAGCCTGTAGCAGACATACCCTATAGGTGTACTCTATAGATGGATTATTTAAACAGAATAACTGGTCTACGGATATTCGCAACTGCTGTCGTTAACTATCTGCAACATCTACTGGTATGGGAACAGGAAATATTGCTTATATTCTTTCTGACAAGCCGGTATATGATGAAGGTTAATGCTAATAATACGCTTCTTTTCAGGTTCCATCTTAATGTAGAAGTATATCATGACATTGTATATATTGCATAGTACATCTTCTGATCTGAGGCAAAATGTATATACTAACAGAATGTGCCATTCAGTAAGTTTTTTTTAAAAAACACAATCAAAGCACACAACTTATGTAGAACTTTGGACAGTGGAATAAGTTACTACGATCAACATAATACGACCGTTTTTCGTGTTTTGAACACTTCTTACAACGTCGAGGAAATTATAACATTGCAGTTATATATTTCAGTATAATCTTTATTCCAAATGATAACTATCAATATGCGTAAATATGTGTATAAGATTTTAACTCGTTCTAACAAGAAGTCTATTCCACACAATGGCCAAGTATATTCGCAATACATATCTTCGTTTGCCTTTCAACTTTTTAAACTGGGGGTGTTTTTCTCTCCCTGTTCATGATACTACACTTGCAGATTGGCTACGTTTAAGGCATCTAAAAACAAATATTGTCTTTATTTAATGTTGATCTATACACGTGATAAAATATGGTCCTCCTCAACCAGCGTCAGCAAATCTATTTTCCTCGATTAACAGCAGATGACGAAACATTCTTTCAAAGGCAAATGGCATAATTTGTTTTGAGGAAAAACCTTCAGAGTTTCTGGGTCAGGCTAAGGTAACTTCTATCATCGTCAAAATACTCACATTCCTTAACAGTTCTGTTGTAACATAACGTGCAACTTCTACCAGTGTCACTGTAGCTATCTTCCTCACTACTTTGCTGTATTCTGTCGTAGGTCATGCAGAGTCAGATTCGAATAAGTGTTGGTATCATTTGTAACACGAGTTATGTCGTTTGGGATTTCATATCGACCGGACGTTTGTAGCTCTTTTTCCGGGGATGTTTCATAATGAAAGGGCTTGCGACTTATTTTTTTTGTTTTTTTCTGTGCTGCGCTTTGCTGCACAAATAAATGGATTAAAATTATTGAAATATTGACCCCAGTTAGCCAATAATGAAACGCCATTATCACTATTAGAATGTTTATATCTGGCGTCTTGCCTTGAATGTTTGGTTATACTGATGTAGCGGCCATAAAATTTCCGAGTCCCGTGCTGGCATTCGAACTACGGACCTTCTGGTCCAAAGTCCAACAGGAAATATGTCCGTTTGTAATCATGAATATCAAAAAGGTTTTGTAAAAGACAGATATATAGGGGAAATGTCCAGACTAGTTTAGGATATTATGGACCATACTGAAACTTTCCAAACTCGAAAATGGAGTGATTCCCGCCATTTCAAACCCTTTTTGGATAGAAGTCTTTAAAGATTGGTCTAATATTGTTAGAAGATACAAAGGACATGTAAAAACTGATTGTGACTCAATGTATTTAGATGATAACATAAAACTTGGAAATAAGACTATTTCTTACAGAAGCTGGGGAAAACAAGGTATAATATTCGAGAACGATTTATTGAATGAAAACGGTAGATTATATTCGAAGGAAGAATTTTGTGCCTTATACACCCTTGACACAGACTTTCTTAAATATGAGGGCGTTAAACGAGCAGTTTTATGTTATGCAAATTCTACAAAATCAACTATGTGGATAGCTCTAAATGTACCTTTTGCAACGAATATGAAGAAAAAAATTATCATGTCTTCTGGGAGTGTGACGAGGTGGAAAGCATATGGCGTGAAATGAAAATATAGCTCAGAACTGTAGACGGAGAATTGAGTTTTACAAATTCCCAGGTAATGTTTGGGATTAAAGAAAAGCATAACTATGCACTAAATGCGATAATTATTTTAGTCAAGAATAGCATATACAACTATGGTAAGAAAGGTTTCATTCCAAATGTTTCATACATCAAGGGACAAATCATAAAATATTATAATACCACAAAATATGCATACATTTACCTTGACCAGGAACCCTACTTCCTAAAACTATGGTCCAGTTTACACATGCTATTTAGAACCGTTGAGTAGGTAAATTATTTTGATGTTCAGATCTTGAACTGTAGACTTTTGCATATGTCAACCTGTATGTATACCGGAAAAAGCGGGGGCGGGGAATATGTTCTAATACACGGTGAGCGATACACAGCACAACACCAACCAAAACTGTTTTCTGATTTTATAAGGATCGGCTGTATACATTGTGTACAGCTTCTTGGTTTTATGGGGTTTTTTATAACCTTTTGAATTGGTGATGTTTTGTATTATTTCATTAGAACGAGATTAGATTAAATCAGTGATAACGTGAATATGTCTTACCTACACGTTCAGCCATATTTATCAATGTCCATTTAAAGGGTTTTATTGAGATCTAACATGACGAAAACCATTGTTTAATTTAGCATTAATTTCAATGGTTAAGTGATTCTTATGATTGAGCTTGAAACGTCTTGAATGGACATGAATCTTAACGTATGGCTTTATAAGGCATAGTTTGATGCTAATCCAAGCTGGGTTGCTGCTTTCATCTTATAGGTTTGTTTGAGAACGTTTTAAATCATTGTACTGCAATACGTAAATGACTGTCGTGTTTTCCTTCTCCTGACCTGTCAAGTCAGACCTGTTTATATGGGGCCTGTCTGTTGCCACAAACTACAACCCATTTCAGATCTGAATAGCTTTTTACCTGTCCCCGATAACGACTCCGGCAATCTACACAATGCAGCTCAAATACATATTAGTCATTCTCAGCGTTTATACCTGTAACAGGAGCGCGCATTAGGCAATTCATATGCTAGCTGTATTGTACTGTTGGGATGATTAATTCTCATGAAGGAAGTAAAGAATCCTCTCGTTCAGAATATTGTGTTACTGCGTATCTAACTTAGGTTACAAATCATTAGTTTATATGGCTGTTCAGCGGATCCAATACTTTAGCACCAAGCATGAATTCTATGTTTGGTATGGTATTATTAGGAAAATATTTCTATATTATCAAATAATCATTTTCAGGCATTTTTCATCGACCTTCATTTTCCTCGTTTTCGTGAAAGAAGTCAGTAAGCCGATTAAAATTTCATATTTCCTTATCTGCAAGCTTGACTGTTAGAGTGGCCACTGTTGGAACAGTAAGTAAGAACTGCACATGAGGCAATAATTAAATGTGCGGTTGCTATACGTTGTGTGAAGAATAGATACAGTGTACAAAGGCGAGTACTTTGGCGTAAGAAAGTCAATAGCAATGTGTTTACATGTGTAATAAGCAGTTTGTTTGGTGTTAAATGTAACTGGTTAGAACGTACAGAATATAAGCTGTGTAAACTCTATATACTCTGATATACATCCTAATACAAATGTGTACATACGAACGTTTGAATTTTGCCTATCTAAATATAATATATAACAAATTTATGGATAACAACTTCTTTATTTTCGTGAGTGCGACGTTTCGATACAGATTCTTGTACCGTTGTCAAGCAAGAGTGATACATGAAGTGTAGGAGCTGCATATATATACTGTATATAACAATGAAACAACATAATAGACAAAGGAAACAAGATAATTGCCATGATTGGCTAAGCAGTAAGCTGATGAAGCCAGTAAGTACATAAAGGATAGTGAATGGAAGCCAGAGATGTAGTTACAATGAGATGTTTATACAATGGATGCTATGTTTATACAATAGACTGGGCTTGGTGGAGGAGTGGATCATAAGCAGATGGAATGAAGTATCCTTGGTCACGGTTGATGGTAGGCTTGTGGCGTTTGATGTGAATGGCTTCTGTGAGCTTGCGTTTAGTGAAGTCCGTTTGGTTGTTGGCGAGAATGGTGATGTCGGACCACTCTATTTGATGATTGGGGTTGGCTTTGATGTGGTCAGAGATAGCTGATTTGGTCAACAGTCAACAGAACCATCGAAGCAACGCTTTCACCTCCTGCCAAAAGATCTAAACCAGAATCAGCCCCCATCAAGATATCCATTCCCTACATTGGTAAACCATCACACCAAATCAGCCGACTCCTGAAACAACAGGCAGGAATAGACACTACCTTCTCAGCGTCCTCCAGCCTCAACAGCCTCCTCCATGCTAACGGAAGAAAACAACCCACCGTCAACAACAACAACCCGAAATGTGTTATTTACAAAATAGACTGTGATTGTGGACAATGCTACATAGGTGAAACATCCCGACCCATCAACACCCGAGTCAAAGAACATCGCACCTCTGTTGCTAATTCCGACACCAAATCAGCTATCTCTGACCACATCAAAGCCAACCCCAATCATCAAATAGAGTGGTCCGACATCACCATTCTCGCACTCACGAAAATAAAGAAGTTGTTATCCATAAATTTGTTATATATTGTACGTCTCAACTTCTAAAATGCCACTCAAACAAGTTATCTAAATATAATTTTACAAAATTTTAATTCATGGCGATAATAAGGTTTATTTCCATCCATGTGCACACGCGAATACATTTAACACAATCAGCTCAGTGATTTAAACCCGCAGTGTTAAAGGATAAAAAAGAAATAGGTAACTGAATGAGTGAAGAAATACAACACAAACATACGCATTAATGTCGGTGTCCCACCATATGTGGCAGCAGCATTAGCAACGTGATAGTGTACATACATATTCCAGGAATACATATTCCATTGATACAGGCAGACACAGAACAGGTAAAACATCAACATCGAGCATTCATCTTTCGTTCGTTAACATCGTGTATTCTCGTGACACATCCTGTTAAATGTATTACCAGTCACAATGGCCAAAATCAACATACAAAAATATCATTATAACCAAATAGCTCTAGGCAGTCAGAATGACATTCGTTGAAATGAGGTAACGGGCATTTGGTCTAAACATATTTATTCGTGAAATAAATGGATTGGCAATCAAGGTACAAGCTTATATTAATGCCGCTCAAATACAATTTACAAAGGTATATATATCAACTAAATCAAAATAAATGGGCATTTGTGTACCATCATGACAAAAAGTTTGGTTTATTTTTTTTATTAAATTAAAGCTGATGTTTGAAACAATCTTGAACTTTGTTAGGTTATAATTGAACCAAGAGAAACGCATTGACCTTTCATTCAGTGATATTCAATAAGAGTGATAATGTGATGCGTATTCTGCAAAAGAAGTTGGGTCGGATTAAAGCATTAAAACATGATCATACATATGTATGTCAATTGATAATTGCGTGAAGACGTCAAATATGCTCGGCATTATACTATCAACTATGATCAAATGAATTTGTCTTTATGTTCATTCTCTGGAAAGTAGATTTAGACGGCGTCTTTTCATTTCATTTGTGTCTTCTGGTGGACAAGTCCATTAATGCACCCACCGATGACATGACGTAAATCCACGATAGCTTATTTTGGTGTAAGTTTCAGATTTACGTACTCATCTTCTTACACTATCCAAAATGAAATGCCATTATTATGATCATCACTTGATGTTGAATATTCGCGAACATACTCGGGACACATCAACTCCTGTTTCAAAAGCTAAATGAAATTGTGGTAGAGACCATTGGACACCATGACTCTATCCTCGTCATCGTGAACGTTGCTGGAAGAAATGTCCTATTCTTCCTGCAGAGAATCCTTCCCTGTCATACGCTTTATCATAGAGTCCATTGTCAACCATTCCCTCGCTAGTTTCCAGTCCTCCATCATACAAATCACCAACACAATTGTCGCTGCCAACGGGGTCGTCAAGGAGGACCCCTTTCGTAGACATCGTTTTCTACCATATCACAATCATTTTTCCCAGCCAGTTTACTTTTGTTAACAGAAGTGTCGGATTCGTCCTGCAGAGATTCCTTCTCTCTGTCATACTCGAATTTATCATAGAGTCCATTGTCAACCATTCCCACGTTTGTTTCCAGTCCTACACCATACAAATCACCAACAGGATTGTCGTTGTCAGCCATGCTGCCAAAGGGTTCATCAAGATGAAGAGGCCCTCCGTCGTAGACGTCTTTTTCTATCATTTCATAACCATCTTTCCAAGACTGTTTACTGTTGTTAGGAGAAGTGTTGGATTCTACCTGCACAGTTTCTTTCTCTCTGTTAAAGTCGAATTCATCATAGAGCCCATTGTCAACCATTCCCTCGCTAGTTTCCAGTCCTTCATCATACGAATCACCAACAGCATTGTCGTTGTCAGCCATGCTGCCAAAGGGTTCATCAAGATGAGGAGGCCCTCCGTCATAGACATCATTTTCTATCATTTCACGCTTATCTTCCCAAGACTGTTTACTGTTGTTAGCAGAAGCGTCGGATTCGACCTGCACAGATTCTTTCTCTCTGTCAAAGTCGAATTTATCATAGAGCCCATTGTCAACCATTCCCTCGCTAGTTTCCAGTCCTTCATCACACGAATCACCAACAGGGTTGTCGTTGTCAGCCATGCTGCCAAAGGGTTCATCAAGATGAGGAGGCCCTCCGTCATAGACATCATTTTCTATCATTTCACGCTTATCTTCCCAAGACTGTTTACTGTTGTTAGCAGAAGCGTCGGATTCGACCTGCACAGATTCTTTCTCTCTGTCAGAGTCGAATTTATCATAGAGCCCATTGTCAACCATTCCCTCGCTAGTTTCCAGTCCATCACCAACATGATTGCCTTTTGCAGCACAAGGAGGCCCTCTGTCGTAGAGGTCGTTTTCTTTCATTTCACGATTATTTTTCCAAGCCTGTTCACTATTATTATGAGAAGTGTCAGAATCGTCCTGAACAGATTCTTTCTCTCTTTCAAAGTCGAATTTATCATAGGCTACATTGTCAACCATTGCCTCTCGAAGATTATCAAAACCTCCGTCATATAAATCATTTTCAGTCATACCACATATTCCTTGATGACCGTTGTCAGCCCTGCTGCCATTAACCATAAATGTACTGTTGTCGTACATATCTACTGTAGAACCCAAAGGCAACGCCTTAGCGTACTGATCCTGCTCATTTTTTCCAGAAGTCTCAGTTCGGTGTCCAAGTTCTGAATTTAAGGATTGTCCAACTCTTGCTCCAAATTCTGGATCGAGCACAAAATTCTGGTGAAAGGTTTCATTTTGTTCCAAGCCATTGTGATGCTTTTCCGTATTCATGGGACTGAGTTCTAAAGGCCTTTCAAAATGACCTTTACCGGGAGTTTCAAGAGGATGGCTCTTCTTCACATGTTTCCTTGAATAAAA